CTGGATAACAGCAAGGCAACTCAATGAATTGAACATGGAGGTTTTATCTCCACAAATCACACAAGCCAGAAGGAGTTATGCTGTGTGATGAAAAAGTTAGCTTGTATCCCAGTTTCTCAGGAAGTCAAACGTAAAATGCTGTATAACACAGCCCAGCTTAGCTGTTACCCTGGCATTAGGTTGGAGATTTCAGGTGACATCCATTCATTATCATCTGCTTATCTGGGGTCGAGTCGCAGGGGCAGCAGCCTAAGCAGGAAGGCCCAGATTTCCCTCTCCCCAGCCACTTGGGACAGCTTCTCCGGGGAAATCCTAAGATGTTCCCTGGCCAGCCAAGAAACATCGTCCCTCCAGCATGTCCTGGGTCTTCCATTGGGTCTACTCCCAGTTGGACCTGCTCAGAAAACCTCCCCGGGAGGCGTGCATGAGGCATCCTCACTAGATGCCCGAGCCACCTCAACCGGCTCCTCTATACAGTGGGGCAAAAAAGTATTTAGTCAGCCACCGATTGTGTAAGTTCTCCCACTTAAAATGATGACAGAGGTCAGTAATTTACATCATAGTTACACTTCTACTGTGAGAGACAGAATGTGAAAAAAAAATTCATGAATTCACATGGCAGGATTTTTAAAGAATGTATTTGTAAATCAGGGTGGAAAATAAGTATTTGGTCACTTCAAACAAGGAAAATCTCTGGCTGTCACAGACCTGTAACGTCTTCTTTAAGAAGCTTTTCTGTCCTCCACTCGTTACCTGTATTAATGGCACCTGTTTTGAACTCATTATCTGTATAAAAGACACCTGTCCACAGCCTCAAACAGTCAGACTCCAAACTTCACTATGGCCAAGACCAAAGAGCTTTCGAAGGACACCAGGAAAATAATTGTAGGCCTGCACCAGACTGGGAAGAGTGAATCTACAATTGGCAAGCAGCTTGGTGTGAAAAAAATCAACTGTGAGAGCAATTATCAGAAAATGGAAGACATACAAGACCACTGATAATCTCTCTCGATCTGGGGCTCCACGCAAGATCTCCTCCCATGGGGTCAAAATGATCATGAGAACGGTGAGCAAGAATCCCAGAACCACATGGGGGGACCTGGTGAATGACCTGCAGAGAGCTGGGACCACAGTAGCAAAGGTCACCATCAGTAACACACTACAACGGCAGGGAATCAAATCATGCAGTGCCAGACGTGTTCCGCTGCTGAAGCCAGTGAATGTCCAGGCCCGTCTGAAGTTTGCCAGAGAGCACATGGATGATACAGCAGAGGATTGGGAGAATGTCATGTGGTCAGATGAAACCAAAGTAGAACTTTTAGGTACAAACTCAACTTGGCGTGTTTGGAGGAAGAAGAATACTGAGTTGCATCCCAAGAACACCAGACCTACTGTGAAGCATGGGGGTGGGAACATCATGCTTTGGGGCTGTTTTTCTGCTAAGGGGACAGGACGACTGATCCGTGTTAAGGACAGAATGAATGGGGCCATGTATCGTGAGATTCTGAGCCAAAACCTCCTTCCATCAGTGAGAGCTTTGAAGATGAAACGTGGCTGGGTCTTCCAACACGACAATGATCCCAAACACACCGGCCGGGCAACAAAGGAGTGGCTCCGTAAGAAGCATTTGAAAGTCCTCGAGTGGCCTAGCCAGTCTCCAGACCTCAACCCCATAGAAAATCTGTGGAGGGAGTTGAAAGTCAGTGTTGCTCGGCAACAGCCCCAAAACATCACTGCTCTCGAGAAGATCTGCATGGAGGAATGGGCCAAAATACCAGCTACTGTGAGTGCAAACCTGGTAAAGACCTATAGTAATCGTTAGACCTCTGTTATTGCCAACAAAGGTTATGTTACAAAGTATTGAGTCGAATTTTTGTTATTGACCAAATACTTATTTTCCACCCTGATTTACAAATAAATTCTTTAAAAATCCTGCCATGTGAATTCATGGATTTTTTTTAACATTTTGTCTCTCACAGTTGAAGTGTACCTATGATGTAAATTACTGACCTCTGTCATTATTTTAAGTGGGAGAACTTGCACAATCGGTGGCTGACTAAATACTTTTTTGCCCCACTGTATGTCGAGGAGCAGCACGTCTACTTCGTGTTCTTCTCACCCTACCTCTAAGGGAGAACCCAGCCACTCTGTCGACAAAAGTAATTTCGGCCACTTGTATTCGCAATCTCATTCTTTCGGTCACTACCCAAAGCTCATGACCATAGGTGAGGGTTGGAATGTAGATCAACTGGTAAATCTGGAAGTTTACCTTCTGGATCAGCTCTCTCTTCACCACGACAGATCAGTACAACACTCACAGTACTGTAGATGCAGCACCAATCTGCCTGTCAATCTCACGCTCCATCTTTCCCTCACTCATGAACAAGACCCCAAGATGTTTAAACTCTTCCACTTGGGGCAGGACCTCATCCCTGACCCGGTGAAGGCATTCTATGCTTTTCCGACTCAAGACCATGGTCTTCCAGCTGCTGCGAACCACTCCAGTGAAAGCTGGAGATCACGTTCAGATGAAGCCAATAGGACAACATCATCTGCAAAAAGCAGAGACTCAATCCTTAGGTCACCAAAACAAATCCCCTCAACACCTTGCCTGCACCTATTCTGTCCACAAAAGTTATGAACAGAAACGGTGACATAGGGCAGCCTAGGCAGAGTCTAACTCTCACCGGAAACAAGCCTGACTTACAGCTGGCAATACGGACCAAGTTCTGACACCGGTCATATAGGGACCTAACAGCCCGTATCAGAGGGCCTGGTACCCCATACTCCTGAAAGTACTCCGCCAAAGGACACGGTCGGACGCCTTCTCCAAATCCACAAAACACATGTAGATGTCAAGTAACAGACGAAAGAAAAAAAAACATAACAAAACAATTCTGAACAAACTTTTTACAGAAAATAATTATTAAAATTCCCACAAAATGAAAGACCCAGTTTAGAACAACATAAAACCTAAAACAATCAGAAAATAAAACAAAAATCAAAGATTGATTTAGCCAAACCAGACATGAAGATCTACATCTATCCATTAATCTGTACGACTGCTTATCCATCTGTCTGTCGGTCTGTTTGTTCATCTTTCTGTCTGTTTTTCTGTCATTTGGTCTGCCCATCTCTCTGTTTATCTCTTTGTCAAAATTTCTGTATCTCTGGTGCAAAAGAGCATTCTGCACAACCCCTGCTGTGATTGCAAAGTGCTCAGTCAGCTCAGTGAGAAGCTGTGAGAAACACGCTGTGATGGAGAGGCTCAATGGACTGCTTGTAATTTGCATGCAAAATGAACATGGAGAGAAATTATATTCACAATATACCTGCAACATAGATTATAAAAGACATGGTGCTGTACGCTAACTCTCATTGATCAAAGCCTTCTATGAACATCAGCGTTCATGCTTTAGATCTAAATCATAAAACTTTTTAAGAGGACACAGATATAGGAGCAGGCTTGACATGGCAAGTTTTAGAACTGACGAAGTCAACCCATTCATTAATTTTCCTCTGCCTTTCTGGTGTGGGGTAACAAAGGCAGTAGCCTAGGCAGAGAGGCCCAGACTTTCCTCTCCCCAGCCACGTGGGTCAGCTCTCAATGCCTGACCAGCCAAGAAGCATAGTTCCTCCAGCATGTCCTGGGTCTCCCTTTAGGTCTCCTCCTGATTGGACGTTCACGGAAAACCTCACTGTCACACTCTGTCCTGTCTCCCCGTTCTGTTCAGTCCTGTGCCCCTGTTAATTGCTCCCACCTGCCTCTCGTCATCCAATCACCCAAGGTCCCAACTCCTCCTGTATTTAAACCCTGTCAGTCCTTTTTGTCTTGTTGGTTCATTGTTTCTATGTCAGCATGTTCTTTATTTAAGTATTTAATCGTTTCTGTGTGCCTGCCTACCTGCTTTCCCCTGCGAGTGGATCCTCACCTCTGTGCACCTCACCTGCAAGCACGTGGCAGAATGAACTGACTATACGAAGGATCCAGTGGGGGAAACTCTCCCCTGGGAGTACCTGCCCCAGTGGCTCACCCCGAGCCACCAGCCGGCTTCCTCTCCTCCAACGCCGCCTTGCAGCAGACGCCGCCATCGAGCCTCAGTGATCCTCTCCACCCTCCCGGAGCCTGATGCGAGGTTGGACTGGGAGACACAGCCGGACCGTTCCTGCTATGTGGGCATCATACTGGCTGTTTGCTCCTCCGGCGTTGGCCCACAGCGCTCCAGGAGGCAGTTCCAGTCCAGAAAGCGTCACCGCCTGCAGCGGACCTGCCTCCAGTCAAGTCAGCAGCCCAGCCTCCGGTCCAGTCAGCACCTCCCTCATCTCCAGGCCAAGGGACCAAGCCAGCAGCCCATCCAACAAAGCTCACCAGTCTCCAAGCTGAGTTGGTCCAGCTCCGTCAGATCCTCAGCCTCCAGGAGTTTCAGCTGGATGCTCTATCTTCCCTGGTTCTCCAAGAGGCATTGCCGGTCCAGTCAGTGGTACCGCCACTATTCCAGTCAGTGGCACTGCCACTGTTCCAGTCAGCGGCACCGCCTGTCCAAGAGGCTCCGGCCCTGGCTCAGCCTGTCCAAGAGGCGGCACCGCCTGTCCAAGAGGCTCCACCCCCGGCCCAGCCTCCAGCCAAGTCAGTGCCTGCTCTGGCACCTCCAGTCAAGTCAGTACCCACTCCGGTGCCTCCAGTCAAGTCAGCGCCCGCTCTGGCACCTCCAGTCCAGCCAGCGCCACGTTTGGCGCCTCCAATCAAGTCAGCTCCACATCCAGCACCTCCAGTCAAGTCAGCGCCACATCCGGCACCTCCAGTCAACTCAGCGCCATGTCCGGCGCCCCCAGTCAAGTCAGCGCCCGGTCTGGCGCCTCCAAACACGTCAGCGCCCGCTCTGGCGCCTCCAGTCAAGTCAGCGCCAGCTCCGGCGCCTCAAGTCAAGTCGTCAGCGCCCCACCCGGCGCCTCCAGTCAAGTTATCAGTGCCACGTAAGGCACCTCCAGTCAAGTTATCAATGCCACGTAAGGCGCCTCAAGTCAAGTCGTCAGCGCCAAGTCCGGCACCTCCAGGAAAGTTGTCAGCGCCAAGTCTAGCACCTCAAATCAAGTCGTCAGCGCCAAGTGTGGCGCTTCCAGTCAATTCATCAGCGCCAAGTCTGGCGCCTCCAGTCAAGTCATCAGCGCCAGGTCCGGCGCCTCCAGTCAAGCTGTCAGCACCAATTGCGGCGCCTCCAGTCAATTCTTCAGAGCCAAGTACGACACCTCCAGTCAAGTCGTCAGCGCCAGTTCTTGCACCTCCTGTAAAGTCATTCGCGCCAGGTCCTGCACCTCAAGTCATGTCATCAGCGCCAGGTCCAGCACCTCAAGTCAAGATGTCAGAGCCAGGTCCGGCGCCTCAAGTCAAGTCAGGGCCAGCTCCGATGCCTCACATCAAGTTGGCGCCAGGTCCGATGCTTCACGTCAAGTTGGCGCCAGGTCTGGCGCCTCATGTCAAGTCGGCGGCGGCCCCTCCTGCAGCAGCTCCGCCACCAGTCAAGTCGTCGACTCCGCCTCCCGTCAAGTTAGCGGCCCAGCCTCCAGTCAAGTTGGTGCCTCCTCCTGCAGCGGCTCCACCTCCACTTAAGTCGGCCCCTCCCCAAACCAAGTCAGAGGCTCCGCCTCCACTCAAGCCAGTGCCTCCCCAACTCAAGTCAGAGGCCCCACTTCCACTCAAGCTGGCGCCTCCCGTCCAGTCAGCACCTGGTCCAGCACCTCCAGTCCTGTCAGCGCCAGGTCCCGCACCTCCAGTCAAGTCAGCTCCAGGTCCCGCGCCTCCCATCAAGTCAGCACCTCCGCCTGCAGTGCCTCCCGCCAAGTCAGTGCCAGCACCTTGTCTCCTCTGCCCCAGACGCCAGCCTCCCAGACTCCGGCGTCATCTCCTGTGCCCCAAGGCTTGTGACTATAGTTGAGGGTTGGAACGTAGATTGACCGGTAAATCGAGAGGTTTGCCTCTCAGTTCAGCTTTCTCTTCACCACAACAGGCCGGTACAATGCCCGCATCACTGCAGACGGCCTATTGATTTTACTGTCCATTGTTCCATCACTGATGAACAAGTTCACAAGTTCAGAAGAGTCTTTTTGGGGGTTAGGGTAACCCCCTTTGTCTGTTGATTTTTGAAATTGAAGATGCTGTGCTAAAATTAATCAATAGTTAAAACATCTTCCTAAAATAATCCCTAAACAAGAACAAAACCCTAACCCACATCACTGCAGACGCGGCACCAATCTACCTATTGATTTTGTGCTCCACCTTTCCCTCACTCATGAACAAAGTACATACATTTCATAAAAGCACATAGTGACTTGGTTCAATCAGTCCGTCAATTTAATCTTAGAAGAATAATAAAGTAATATCAACAGGATGTTCTTGTTAAGGATTTCACTCATTTGAATGGTCAGAAGTTGAGGAGTCTCAATTATCCTTTGGGACTCTATGGGCTCCAAGGAAGCATTATTTGAGTGATTACGTTTTTTGTAACCTTTGCAATAAATATTTGCTACATCAGCAATAATAGTTGTGTACCACACATGCCAAAAACAGGAAGTATGTGGACTGTGAATGCTAAAAGTAGGTTATACCTCCATGTACTAAAAATTGGCAAAATGTGCAGAAGAAATCACAATGTGGCTCGTACACCTTCATTATGTGAAGTATGTTAGAATATCAGCACATACCCAGGGTAGTTGTTATGTAGAAATACAGTGAAAGTGAAATGCCATTCTACCACAAGAACAGGAGAATTAGCAGAATCAAAAGTGTATAAACAGGTAGAAACTGTTTAAAACCATCTTGCTCCTATTAAAACTATAAATAAAAGAGCAGCAATGAGCTCCCTACTCTATTTTCATGACCCTGAGGTTCATTTCCTTCCCACACGGTCTTAAGATATTTAGTAGACTTGCAAATGAGAATAATTTGTCAGACAATTAAAGGGGCTGATAGGCAAGTTTTATGTTTTCATTTGCCATTATGCAAAAGATGCAGATTGCACAATGTAATTGCCATAGCATAATGACACCATTGTTGTTCAGAGGGGTTCTCAATGAACCTTTCTGTCTCAGTGGAACACTGCCTGCTGCTGGAAATAACAGAAAAAGAACAGCTTGATTTGTAGTATACGCAATGGGCATATGAGGTGGTGCAACCTTATGTTTTAGTGAATTTTAAGCAATATTAGTGGTTTTGTATTACTAGCTAATGTAAGTTTGAAAATGAATGGAAATGCTAGTGTCGTCTATTTTACAGGAGCCTGATAAGAGGTCCAACTTTCTTTATGTTGTTACTAGTGACAACATTTATTAAAAACTAGAATTACTCTCTGGGCATGTCTGGTTTCTCTTCACCACCACCGTCTCCAACTTTTGTAAGAGGTTAAATATCTATAGAGTTGAAAAAAGGGAAAGCAAAAATAAAAAATAAATAAACAAGCAATGGACATTTATTTAGCTTCATTCCGAGTGGACTCTATAAAAACAAAGATTTTATAGATAGATAGATAGATAGATAGATAGATAGATGATAGATAGATAGATAGATAGATAGATAGATAGATAGATAGATAGATAGATAGATAGATAGATAGATAGATAGATAGATAGATAGATAGATAGATAGATAGATAGATAGATAGATAGATAGATAGATAGATAGATAGATAGATAGATAGATAGATAGATAGATAGATCTAAAGACCTTTGGACATGAAGCAGTTGAGTAAGTTCAAATGTCTAAAGAATGGTCACTTTTGACTTGCTATTCATCACTATCTCCTTGCTTTTATCATGAATGTCACAATTATTTATACTTGTACCGGCTGAATAGTCATTGTCCTTACAACTAATAGTCTTCATTCCATTGCTTGTGTCATTGCACTCAAAACTGTTGAACATCTTGTGAAACAATTTGTACACCCATTTTGAAAACCTTATTTTAAGGAGTTTCCATGGAAATCTCCATACATGACTTTTCTCAGGTGAACCTTATCTCACATTAATGAAAATTGGTGTGTGTCCTGGTGACAATCAGACAATGTATGCAGTGATTTGGGATAATGTTAGCTTCCATCACTCTGTTGTAGTCAGGCAGTGGTTTGCAGCACACGGCAGGATGCTTTTGGAGTTTCTTCCTCCTTACACTCCATTCCCAAATCCAATTGAGGAGTTTTTCTCTTCCTGGAGGTGGAAGATATATGACAGGCATCCACATACCCAAATGGCCCTGCTAGCAGCTATGGATGCAGCTTGTGATGACATCACAGCAGAGTCCTGCAGAGGGTGGATTCGACACTCCAGACAATACTTTCCTCGATGCATCGATAGAGCTGACATTCGCTGTGATTTTGATGAAAATATGTGGGCAGACAGACGGGAGCATCTAGATATCAATGACTGATATGTAGCAGTGTCTGTTCAGTTTTTTTTTGTTTGTTTTGTTTCATAACTACTGCAGTAAGGTTTACTGTCTGAGTTTATGTTTGCTGTAAAATGTTTGTTTTACTGTATTTCCCCAGTTGCACAATGCTGTTAACAGTTTCAATTAAATATTATCAAGAGTGCACATGAAGTGTCTTGATTTTCCTTAACAATTTATGGTTTTCAACATGCCATGCATGCTGTCCAGACTTGACATGTCATTGGGAAGCACCTACAATACAGAGGATTGCTGTATAGTCACTGACACTAGTCAGTGACTTGATGCAATTTGCTGGGTTCCTTATATAGGAATAATTATTTCTGATTGGCTTAATGAACTGTGAATTGGAATTTTTATTATGTGAAGTGCCTTGAGACGACTCTTGTCGTGATTTGGCGCTATATAAATAAACTTGACTTGACTTGACTTGACTACAAAGAAATCCGTCACAATGAGAACTTGTTCACACCATTTGATTTTGTGACCAAAGGTTCTGGTGTAATAACTTGTAATTGTGACAGCTCTGACACTTTGATTGATATAAGTACTTGCTTTTGATGAATATATTATCTGTTTTGATTAAGGGACTTGCTTTTGAAGCATTGACTACTTATTTTGAGCAACTGACTTTTCTTTTTGATGAAGTGACTCACTTTTGCAAGTTATCCACCATGTTTTGCAGTTTGCACCAATTGTTTTGAGAAGAGCCTTAATAGTGGTGCAGAGATCAGTTCTGTTGTGAGAAATGCACCAAAGCAACTGAGAATAACTGTAAACCAACAACAGCCTTCCCCATTGTGGGTTTAGATGGGTGAGTCCATAAATGTTAAGTTACAGTGTGACAAAGATCTGTCTGGCTTTTAAAGTTCTATAGTTTCACCATCTATTTTTTATCAGAAGTTAATACGGATGCACATGTTCCAAAATTTCTGTAACCGATTAGTGATGCCATGAAAGGTTGATATCCGGGAACCGTAATGACACCTTTTCTACTTTAGCCTTTTATTGGTCACTGAATCTTTAGGTAACTTTTAATAGAACTACGGTACAACCCTGACTCAGTCAGGTTCACTGACTCGGTTTGTTTCTTCATTGAACTTTTGTGCAATGAAGAAAGTTGAAAGTTGTGTCTTATTTACCAATTCATCTTTGTGGAATGACTGCCACTAAACATGTGCACTTTTATGTAAAACATGCTTTTTTTCTCTGTTAAATACATACATTTTGCTCTAATACATAAATGGTTGATCTGTTGAATACTGACTATCAAAGAGGCCAATATTCTCCAACATTCTTATGATGGATCTTAACTTTCTTCAAAGATATGTTGGCCAGTTCTGGAAATCAGTCCAATGGATTTACTTTAGAGCATGGGTTATTCTGCATTCCGTGTTATCAGACTTCACTATCTATGGTTTGTAAGATAGCCCTTAAGAGCACACGTTGAATGCTGAAATGTAAAAAGAAATCTGGATGAGAAGATCATTTCAGGCGTTCCCATCTCTACTAAAACGGCGAGAGGGAAATTACGCTATTTGAAGTTTTGGAGCATGTAAATGTAAATACACAAATGAGTCACCTGCAGCAATGGTATATATTATTTAATTTATTCATCTGATCCAACTAAATTTGAGCTGTCAGACAAATAATTGACTTTAAATGTACAGAGAAAGTTTATATTGCCAGAACACACAGACATACAGTTGTGGAAGACAGTTTACTTGATTTACTGTAGATATCAATCAGCATATTAGCGCCACACACACACACACACACACACACACACACACACACACACACACACACACACACACACACACACACACACACAAACAAACACACACACAGAGAGAGAGAGAGAGAGAGACTCTTGCTGTACTCAGTCTGTGTTTAACTGCCAGTCTTTGCTCAGTGTATAACTCACACACAGTGGGATTGTCCTGGGATGGATACCTGCAAGCAGTGTGGTGTGTGTTTTATGTGTGGGTTTGGGAGTGGGGTAGGTGGTGTAGAAAGCTTTCTTATAAGCAGGTTAGGACTCCCAGTAGCATCAATCCTGCTACAAACAGCTTTGATCAGTTTGTAGTCTCAGTTCAATTTAAGCGCTTGCCCCGAGCAAGAGTGTGTATATTTGTTTCTAAACTCGGAGTTCATGCCACAACTGGCATCCGAGAAGAAGCTGCAGGCTAGAACTTGGCAAAGTACTGTGTGCACAATAATGTTTATTATTTATCTGCGTATGCTTAGTACTTTTTTTGGTGTGGGGAAATTAAGCTTCATTGATATTCCAAGTAGCTGCTTGCCCCTTTCAGGAAAGACGGACTTGCTCATAAAACACAGCCAGCTCTTTGTGCCTACTCTGTCTGTCACTTTCTTACAACCTAAAGTCAGAACCTAATTCAGCCACTTCATCTGAATGAGTCCAGTATGGATTGTTCCACCATGGTTCCTGATAACATTAGCATTTTACCCCTCTTACAAAAAAGGGACAAAATAATGTTCTGTTTCTGTGAGTAAGAGTCATGAGAGCCTTAAGAGTGTTTATTCATCAAGCTCCCTGGGAAAGCTCACAGGAGCATGGTGGAGAGAACTCTTTACATTGCACTGCAGAGCTCATCAGCTGAATATATTACCCTGCTCCTGAAGGCAATGCTGTTCACTCTGGACTCCTATGGAGGGAACACTGCTGATCAGCAGGACTCACGCACATAAACTCACACACCCCCATGTTGTACTCGCCCACGCCTCAGCCCCTCTTCTCCTCGCGCTGGCCTTTCTTCCATCTCGTTCCTTTGCCCATAATATGAAGGAGGAGAAGATGTTAATAGGCAAGAAAAGGTCAAGGACAGCCACTGATGTTCTGTGTGGACCACGAGGCTGCTCCTAACACGAGTAGGGCACCTGAAGGATTCTGTTAGACACACTTAAACTAAGAAATCTTGACAGATACATGAATCATCCTTTAATAAAATCCAAGCTCCAATAAACAACATTTCAAGAGTAATTTGAATATAAACGGGACAAACACACATAAGCCTTTGCTGATTCATTAATCAAAGCACACACATCACCTATTATAGCAGGTGTGGAGTAGCTCTTATCACATCTGCAGCATTCCCTCTTTTCACTCTGCTTGTATCCTGCCGTTGTCTGATTGAACGATCATGTTAACTGACAGAAAAGAAAAGAAAAGAGGCAAACCCTACCTAACGAGGCTCATAGATCTCAATCACCATAAACAATATTAGTCTCACATGAAATATGTAGGAGCAACACTCCTTGCAATAATAACGCCAAAGGCCATGATGACTGGCATTTCCTGACAAATAGACTTAATTTAGATGTAATTCTGTTTTTGTGTTATTAATTTTACCTTCAAATGTATTTACACATACGCACAGGCAACACACACGCACGCGTGCACGCACGCACGCACACACACACACACCTGTCTTTTGTTCATTTGTCTTTTTGTGAATGGTGAGGACTGGGCTCTCACTGACAGACAACACAGCTCCCTGTTCATGAGTCTTACTTTACCGCCCACTCCTGTGTCTCATATTTGGAGTCACCCTTTCCTCTCTAAGTAACACACACACACACACACACACACACACACACACACACACACACACACACACACACACACACACACACACACACACACACACACACACACACACACACACACACACACACATGTAGTGTTACTGTGTAGTTTAATTATGACCATTAAGATATGATGGTTCCAAATAAATATGCAATAGTAACCTGATTGATCTTTGATTGTTTAACCAGAGGAATTTAGGATCCTTTGCTTGTTCAGGGACCATAAACACACTTTGTATTAATTCAAGCAGAGTCAAGTATATAGTTAAAAGGAATTTTATTATTTTCTAAACTAATGATAACACATGACAAGCTATGAATATTGATATGTGATGGAGTGTATATGCGGTGATGGAATGTGTGTTGCAGGTGTGTAAAGTAGATGTGTATCAGAACCTCTGTCTCAGAAAGAATTCTGGGTGTAAAATAATTTGTTGTCTGCTATAAACTGGAGAG